AAAAAAAAAAAAAAAAACAGAAGGAAGGAGTAGCTGAAATATGAGTCGGGAAGAATTATACAGAACGAAGAAAGCTCTATTAGAAAAGGAAGGAAGATGAATCAAACCGTGGAAGTCCGAGTGGCATTAATCTTTCCACGTAAAGCTTTCCACGGACGAGAATCGACACGACATCCGCACAATGGCGCGATCCGTAGTTGGCTAGGCCAGCTGTTGGGACACGCGCGGTCGAGTCAAATTAGATTTCCACCGATGGTAATTGACGGTGGCGCCTCTATATCCGGCACTTCTGCGAAGATGCTGACGCCAAGGAGTCACCGGGTGCCGGCGCTTGCCGCGCGTATGGAAGGAATTAGTTTTTAGTTAGCTTCCTCCCGGTCTTGTCCCAACCAATTAGCCACGTGTGCCGGCCGCGACAATGCGTGCCACCCCTAATACGCGCCACGTTTACAGTTGGTTGCGCGAGAGTACCAGGCAACCGGATATACCGGCCACGAGCAATCGGTTGCCGCTCGGAGAATCCACGGTTCACTCGCTGGTAAAATTAAATCAATGGCAAAGGGAAATGTAATAGTTTTAAGTGATCGTGATGGCAGAATAAATATCTGCTCGGCGAAAACTGCGACGATATCAATCAGCAGACGGCTGATCAACTTGCAACAACGGAAATTGAAAATTGTAGAACTTTTTCTGGAAAAACACTGCCAAAAGTCATCAAATTCTCAGTCATTATTACAATTCTATTGGAAAATAGAAATAGAAATAGAACCATTAGAAGAATGTACTTTTGTTTCTTTATATGCAAATGATCTGACAGGATTAGCTACTCTGTTTGCAAGTTTGAATGAATGATTTTATATGAACTCTTTAAATAAACTTTTCTCTGCCTACTGAAGAGTTTGATGTTCTTGCACTTGAGGATTTGATCACATGGATTAATTACGATGTGTTCGTTGGAAGGTTGAGGACATAAAAATTCGGGAACTGACAGGATTAGCTACTCTGTTTGCAAGTTTGAATGAATGATTTTATATGAACTCTTTAAATAAACTTTTCTCTGCCTACTGAAGAGTTTGATGTTCTTGCACTTGAGGATTTGATCACATGGATTAATTACGATGTGTTCGTTGGAAGGTTGAGAACATAAAAATTCGGGAACTGACAGGATTAACTACTCTGTTTGCAAGTTTGAATGAATGATTTTATATGAATTCTTTAAATGGACTTTTATCTTCCTACTGAAGAGTTTGATGTTCTTATACTTGAGGATTTGATCATATGAATTAATTACGAAGTGTTCGTTGGAAGGTTGAGAACGTAAAAATTCGTTTTCAGGTCCGGAAGCTATTCGAGCAACGAACGTTTTCTACTATCTGACGTACGAGGGTAGCGTGGACCTGGATACGATAACCGATCCGGTCATGAGAGAGGCCATAGAAAATCAAATACGAAACTTTGGCCAAACACCCTCGCAACTTTTAATGGAGCCGCATCCCCCGAGAAGCTCGGCGATGCATTTGGTAAACAATGTTCATTTCATAGTACGTTGTGCTTCTCAATAGTCTCATCGTTGCGTAGCATTTTGTAGAATCGTGTAATAAGAAGAGTGTGCAATGTATATGTAAGTAATATCCGTTTAGAGAGAAAGGAGGAAAGGACCTTTAAGTGCGAGTTAGACTAACAATTCAACAGGATCTAACAAGGGTGTGAAGTTACTAAAAGTATTCTGTTAGTTTTAGAGTAGTAGCACCGATTTCTAGAAAAATTCGCGACTAGACTGTCCATTTAGTTTACAATTTGATAGTTTGCAGTTTTCGTTAGATGGCTCTCCCTTTTTTATAAACTATACTTTTGTAATTGAGACGCGAAGCTGTTCTGCAAAGAATCTAGTACTAATACATTTCACGCTTCTATGATTTTTGTTCGTTCAGATGAATTTAAACGTGCTTCTTCTCATTGTGTCATTCAATTTCGCTACTTTTCCTAACAAATCAAGAATCACAGAATCACGAGGGAAACACTATACCGGAACTGTGCCTCGTTCCACAAAGCAAAGTTTCACCAAACGTTAACGACAAAATGTTGAGAGGAATTCGCCGTCCATCCGATGTGCTTAACAGAATACTAAACTTCATCCTCGACATCTCTAACCGAGCCACCACTCTCGAATCATTCAACGAGTTACTATAAATTTACCTACAGAGGTGTACAATGCACGCTTTTCTTTTCTGTTCAATCGTCCCGAACGAGAAGAGTACCGCAAAGTTTGACAAGACGTTGCCACCCGTGTTGCAGTCGCCGATGATGTTCTCGAGTATCCCGGACGACGTGTGCATGACCATCAAGTTCCCCTCGAACTCGCCAATCTGTCATATCTCGGCGAACACGTATCCTCAGTTACCCTTACCATCCGTTGTCACAGTCACCACTGGACAGCAATTCGCTGTCAACAGATGGAACACTAATTACGCGGGTATTTACTTAAAAATTCAACCCTTTCGCTGTTAGCAGCCGGAGAGGACAAGAGCGAGGGCAAATATAGTTCATTCACTTTCGTTCACTCTTTTTTTCTTTTCTCTCTTTTTATCTCTTTCTTTCGTAATTTGGTTGCACAGCGAAAGGGTGACTTTCATTCAGTCGTTGAGAAACTGAATCGTTGAATTCACACGAACACACGCTTTTGTAGCATCTGTGCAGTCGCCAAGTTACGCGGACACTCCGCAAGCGCAGGCCGCTAATCAGCCATTGTCGATGGATCCTGTTTTATGTAAGTTGTTTAATGCACCGAAAGAATACAAGAGCAGAGTGGTCAGTTAAAATTGTAAAAGAATTATTGTAATAATGAACGACTACTGTTCGCAGCTCAAGCGGCGAACAGCTCGAATCCAACGTTACGACGTCACTTGGGCGACAATTTCAGTCAGAAGCTAAAGATACGGAGCAATTGCTTCGTCACTACGGTAGATAGTAGATTTCTGGTCGCTTGCGGTTTCTGGGATAACAGCTTCCGCGTATTCTCCACCGAAACTGGTAAATGACGAATTCACGAATAAAGAGGGACTTCTTCGGCTGGCAGGACGATCGACATCTTCTTCTTCTTCTGTTTCAGCGAAAATCGTACAAATCGTGTTCGGTCACTACGGTGTCGTCACGTGTCTGTCACGCAGTGAATGCAACATCACGTCTGATTGTTACATAGCGTCTGGAAGTGCTGACTGCACGGTGCTGTTGTGGCACTGGAACGCCAGAACGCAGACGATCGTTGGCGAGGGTGAAGCACCAGCACCAAGGGCAACCCTTACGGGACACGAGCAACCAGTGACTGCTGTTGTTATCTCAGCTGAACTGGGCTTGGTTGTTTCGGGCTCCTACTGTACGTGACTCGAACGATAGTTTTCGAGTTTTAACGAGTTTCTGTTTTAAATTCAATTGCCAGAAGTTCGTGCCCGAAGAATTGTTTAACGTGTTGTTTTCTGTTCCATAGACGGGCCGGTTCTTGTACACACGACTTTCGGTGATCTTTTAAGATCGTTGGAGGCGCCAAGTGGCTTCTCCTCGCCTGAAAATATCGCGATGTCGCGGGAAGGTGTTATCGTCGTGAATTACGAGCGCGGACATATAGCAGCATTCACTATAAATGGGAAACGGCTTCGCCACGAGTCTCATAACGATAATCTTCAGGTAATCCATTATCGGTTCAACAATACCGATCGTCTAACTACAAATACATGCAATTTTCATTTTGCAGTGTCTGCTTCTTAGCAGAGATGGCGAGTACTTAATGACAGGCGGTGACAAACGAATCGTTGAAGTTTGGAGGACGTTTAATCTAGCTCTTCTCTATGCATTCCCAGCTTGTGAAAGCAGCGTGCGTTCATTGGCACTGTCACACGACCAGAAGTAAGTGTGGCTAGGCTAACTTCATGCACTACTTTCGCAATTGGAGATTCTTTTGTCTCTTTGATTTCAAATTTATTTATTTAGTTATTCATTATTTAACGGGGAAAGGTACATGGGAAAGAAATAATAACAAAGAGCATTTGCAGTTTGCGAAAAAGAATGCACTGCTTTTATGTTTAATTTGGGAGTTATTAAAAAAGATCAAGGTCAAAGTGTTTAATAGTCTTAGAATTGCTCAAACTTGATTTTTTTCTTTTTTTTTTTTGTAAATCATGAATCTCTGGGATGAGGAAAATTCCTAAAATATCTAAGAGGAATTTAGCTCAAGTTAATAAGTTAATAAGTTAAGTCGATTTCTGCATTGATTCCTTGGGTATATTTGATGAGATACTCATGTATTTCTTGTTCCAAAATGCAGGACGGCCAGTCTAACTTTGAATCAATATTTTGCAACATTATCAACATAGCACATTCACTTTAAAGTATTTAATGGGTTCGTTATCGGCGGCAAAACAGAACACAAAAATTATTAGTATTTCGAAATATATTATGTCAAAGTGATAACATTTTTAATCCGATGAAGAATTTGATGATTTGGTTCGTAACGAGCTAGAGAATTTGAAAGAGCGTCTAACACTGTGCCACACACTTTGTAGAAATAAATGAAGTATTTTCGCGATGCACTGAACGTGCGGTAAGAAATGAAGTCGGATCCATGGGGGAAAAAAAATTGGATCCATGCAAATCTAGACAAAGGAAATGAGAAATTCGACGCCCATCTACCTTGGCGTTTCTAAGTTACGACAATTATAATTCATTCAACCGTCTTTCCAGGTTTCTTCTAGCTGGCCTGGCCAACGGGTCGATCGTGATCTTCCATATTGACTTCAATAGATGGCATCACGAGTTCCAGCAACGCTACTGAGACTGTTTCGCGTACGTCTAGCAAAGTCGAACGAGGCACGAACATAGTTCACCTGTCGTTCGTCTTCCTTGCGCAACATCGACAGATTCCTCTCATTGTCAGTCACGTACGGCACGCAACGGTAACGTCTACCCAAAGTCAGCCAGTCTCGCGACATCCGACCGTGTGCACAATTCCATTCGAGCAGATCCACGATTCGATCGTGACGCGTCGAATTCGAAAGAGAGAAGTAAGAAGGGAAACGTATGGTGCAATAACGCCGGGATCAGACGAAGCGAAGGGATGAACTTCGGGTCTGATCTCCTCGAGTGTTTACAGATAGGAGCAACGAGCAACGACGCTTTCGTAATCGTTTATTACAATCAAGTAGTGGGCGCAGAGAGCAGGTAGTCGCCGAGCAGCAGCATATACTCACGATATATTCAGCGTTTTAGCAATAAACAGGAAATGAAACAGGAAGGGGGATACTCGCTTTCTCGCGACTCGCGTCGAGTGGATATTCGAGTGCTTCCGTGCGAATCGATGACCATGCACAAGCGCACGAAGCTGCGGCGAAAATTTCGAGCACTTTGGGAGAACTGGCGATCTCGATTGGTATCGATACTTGCCTCGAGCTTTCTAGCCCTGCAAAAACCGAGGGGGAGAGAGAGAGAGAGAAAGAGAGAGAGAGAGAGGAGGAAAGAAATCAAAGATCCACGAAAGTCACACACATGTCTCTCTCTCCCTCTCTCTCGCGGAACCGCTAGTCAATTACGAACACATTCTTCAATCTATCTGTACGCTTGCGAATACTCTCGAAGGCCGATTCTCTCGACTCACCCCCGCGCACCTCCCCCCTCCCCCTTCCCGTACGAGGGTGCGTGGCGCAATCATGCAATCGTGATCAGATGCTCGGACAGTAGACTCGGAATCGCGAGTAAAATCTCTGTGTGAAACAACGCCGTGACCGCGTGTGAAAGGGACACACGTGTGACTATCGTCTCCGGTGACCACACCGTCTAGTGCTAGAGTAACGTCCCCGTGTAAATACGATTATCTCTACAGCGTATAAATATATATATAAAATATATATATATATATATATTATATATTCTATACATACACGCATAATTCCGTGCTAAGGTGTCGACGAGCGAATGAGCAACATGAGATGAGAGAGAGAATTGTATTTCTGCGCCAATCACGTAATTGCTGCTCGCGATACACGAGACACTTTTTGGCTAAGCACTTAGCGAGTTCAGTTTTACGAGACTTAGGGAACGTAAACGACACGTGTACACGTACACTCGGACACAGATCTTTCCATCCGAAAGTACATTACATGAAAATATGCCGACACTTACAATTAGAAACGAGGAGGCACTCTCGCAGGGGCGATCGACGCTTTTTTC